TATATTTATGAGGTCAACCGAGTTGTATAAATTTGGCACTATAGTTGTAACGATAAGGATTGTAAGAGCAATTCAAAATCAACACTGAAAGAAACGAAGTACTCTTTCCCGATGAACACCTGAAAGAATGTTTTAAGTGTAGACTAGGCTCGCTGTTTGTGCACATTCGCATTTAAGTCGATAATAATTGCCATACAATTTCTTCGGTTGTTTTTAATTGTTCCCCTCGCTGTCTATGATTTAGTTAGAACAAAACATATATAATTTTCTGTACGTAACGCTTTTTTTTCTTGCAAAGGTACGGTTTTCTTTGATAAATGTTACATAATTAAATGGTACAAGTTTAATATTAAATGCTGCTTTTAATTATAGTTCTTGGCAAGCGATACAGGTATCAATTTTCAAGTTAGTCTCTCGTGGCGTAGTGCTATCAATTATAGAGGAGAGGTACTTTTATTTATTATTAATACTTACGATTGGTTTTGCGTGATATAGGTGATTTTTTTCAAAAAAAAAATATTTTTCAAAATTACTAAATTACTTCTTTAATTACTTAGAATTACTTTTTCTTCTCCTGGTTATTTCTTGAACGACTGTCAACAATTTCATGTTGCTGAAAATCCACATAATTTGTATTCGTATTATTTTTACATATTTCTGGACGAAATGATCGGGCCCATCCGCAGTCTGTAATTGTATCTTTTTTAAAGTTAAAAAACACGAAATTTTCATTGCGAGGAAAGATAAAACCAATATATTGTTTTTTAGATCAAATTTACCAGAAAGGAAGAAATAGACCTTTTCTACTTATAACTAAATTCTCATTTTCTCAAGTTTCTCATCCTGTTGCATTGCATGTGGATATTTGTTTGAAAAATAGAATGAATACATAATGTATTTTACAGTAGGGGGCAGACAAAATATTTTAAAATGTCATAATTAATCAAACTTTGGATCTATTGTTAAATATACTATGGTTCGTTTTGGGGTATAATAACGGTTTAATTGAAATAATATTTTAATTTAAAATTTCTAAAAAAATGGGTTTTAACGAAAATTATATTGCCGCTTTCAATTGAGGTAGGCAAAATTTTCATTCTCTATTGCTTTCTGTATTGTATGCAACAGCCATTCGTGCAGTAACCGATTTTATTTTTTTCTTTACAAATTTTTACAAATAACCAGACTTTAATGTCAAAAAAAGTTTTATTGCTTTCGGGTACTAAAAACATCGTTTACTTTACTTTTTGTGAGAAGGCGTACCTTGTATCTTTAACTAAGTACACCAAAACATTTTCATTTACTACACATTTCCTTCCCGCAAAGCCACCAGATTTTAAGCATTGAACATGTTTTGTGGAGGCATAAAGGTAAACTGAGTCAGTTGCCACATCTTATACAGGATATACAATGTCAACGTCATGAGATAAGATTATCCTGAGAGAATCGATTATCTGATGCTGATGCATGCTACGAAGGATTACAGAATGGCAAAATTTATGCACATGGCTATTTAAGTGACTATCGATTTTTTAAAAATTCCTTGATAATGTTCGTTTGATAATGGCATCGATTGTTGTTAATACTGATATATCCCAAATATTAATAATATATATTTGCATTTACTGGGTGGTGCAATTTCTATATCACAGTATATAATATACATAATATACGAATGTTAGTTGTTTATCTGAAATTACCTAATAACGTACAAAACGATGCAACAATCAGAATTTATTTAAGAAATTGCAACATTATTGAATTACTTTTGAACTGTACTCTGTTGTTACTAAGAGAGGGTGAATGGAAATTACACTTTCCTGAGCCAGATGACAAGCACCATGATCTTATAATACCTATAGTCCTATAAATTTAAAGGATATATATTATACCGTAATTATGTAAAAGTATCTTTTGTCATTGAACCAAGTACCACAACAAAGAACAAAGAAAATCGAAACCACAATTGCCCATCGTCGTGCAAAATTAATTAATAATTTTAGATGAGTCAACTTTGCTTAATTTTATTTATTTATTTATTTATGGTTTAACCAATTTACAAAAGTGTTACATACATTAAAAGCAAATAGAGGGAAATGTAGCAGTATAACAGCTAGAATAAAACAAGAACAAAATATAACAATAACAATAAATAGAATGAAGTGGAAACAGAACACATCAGAACGAAATGAGCGGAGGCTGCCGACAAAAGGACCAAGGACACTTACACGCGTTCAACATTCTAGTAAGGGGTGAATTAACTTCATAATTGGCGCGATGGTAAGGTATGCGAAACATTAAGTTATCACAGTTTCTGTAAAATGCTTTGTAAAATAGCTGAACAGTGATACCATCTTAAAGAGAAAAAATAAATCACTCTGAAATCTTCTCGTCTGAAGAGTATCAATATTCAAGGCCTTAGTTATAATACTGTATCTGATACTCATTATAGATTTTGATATCCGTCTTTGAAGCCAAAGATCTTAAAAATACTTTCTGAACGGCTTCGATATTATCTATATGGCATAATATGGGGACCATACCACAGATGCATCTCCAGTCTCGAGCGAACCAAAGAGATATAAAAGAGTTTAAAGCAATGTGGAGTATGTTGGCCACTATTGCGTGCAACAAAGCCAAGAACTTGAATAGATCTGTTTACCACTTCCGCAAAATGTGTCACAAAACTTAGTTTAGAATCGAAGCAAACACTCAAGTCTATATCTATATGAGTGAATGTGTTTCTGTTGTTTTGCAAAAATGTACCGAAAAACTAACGGTCGTAGAAAAAGTATAGTATGCAACACGTTCGGTAAACTTTTTAACTCACTCCTTTATTAATTACTTTAATAGTTAATTAAATACCTAATTCCAGAGGGGCAAAGTTGACATATCTATATCATTGGTTTCTTGTTGTTGTTTCTGCCGTATTCAATGCTCCGGCGACTTGTCTAATTTTGTACGATTATTAATTTGGCTTAAAACTTTTTTTAAAATGTTTGAATTCCATACATTCTTTGCTATTTGTCGTTTGCAATTATATTACATCTGCAATATGCAAAACATCCTACCGTAAAGAAAGCAAAAATCTGTCCATGCATGCTCATCAGAAAAATTGATAATATTATTGTCAGCGGAATCTTCTCATTCTAATTTTAACTATTTAATAACATAAATAATACACCATTCTGCTAAGAGTTTATCGACTGGTATGAAACCTATTTAAATAAGCACCTAAAAGATGATATTATTGTTGCTTAACTAGCAAAATGCAAAGGCGTTCAAAGACTATTTTCAACTTCAACTCATTAAAAACTCGACCAAATGTTTGGCAAATTGGAAATATGGTTACAAAGAGGTTGCCGAACAAGCTGGCGGACATATTCGTTAATGAGTAACCTGCTTTGTGTACAAGAAGATTCATTTGAATATTCGGCTTCAACTTTGCTTTTATTTTCCAAAGAAACTTCCACAAGTTTACTGTAAATACTGTTTATAAATCTTTTTCAGTTTCTGATTTCTTCTGAGCTTGATTGAAACAGCTTCACTTAAGCTCTGAAGAAGTCAAGAGGATGATTGGCGAAACGTCAGCAAGTTCCCGTAGGAGGAATCTCTCTCTCTCTGCTACTCTCCATAAACTCTTAGTGGGTATTCTTTGCCCCAAAACTATTTTAGAAAACCTGAGATGTGTGAGTCTATACAAACTGTCGAACCATACTTTTCCTATTTTTGTTCGGTGCTGTAGATTACGGCTTGATCTCCGCTTAGTAGGCCTTTATTGAATCGCAAGTCCAACTCTGCACGATGAATTTTCTTCTCGGTACATGTACAAGAATGCGGCAGACTCTCTGTGATCAGAGTATTATACTGCACTTGTCGTGGGCGTCCAAGTCGGCATCCGCCTCGGGTCACAATATGGCTTCTTGAGTAGTCAACATGGCCGACTACCATTGTTCCCCCATTCGGAGACTGTGGCGTTTGTTGACTTTTACTTTAGAAATACGCTGCCTCATGCTGACCTATTTGCATTCGTCGATAAACTGAACGACCAAATAAATATCTATAGACATTTCAACATTGAGTAACGGACTACAACTATGTTCTCCATAGGTATATCTGGTGTTTCTAAATTTGAAGACAAATATTGTTCAATATTGAAAGTAAAATATATCTTGGATCGACATTTCTGTCTCACAGCTTCATAATTATGTGAAAAATTGTTTTTATTTATATCTCCACTCTAACAGAATTTAAAAGGATCCAATTTGTCAAAATTAGCCAGTTTTGATGCTTTTAAGAATCCCTATAACGTATTTCTTCGTAGAAATTCAATGCATCTTGTGTTTCCCTACTAAAAAAAACATTTTTCAATTTACTGCTTTTTGAAAAACTGTTAATTCAAATAAAATAGGCTTGCCTTTGTTTTCATATAAATTCAGAAAGAGATTAAAAATGGTTTTAAAAAAAAGATAAATGGACATCCATTAACTCTAAGAAATTTTTAATTTTATTTTGAAAAAAAATTATTATTAAGAGTAACTTTAAGCAATTTGCCAGCTTTTTACCGCAACACTAGTTTGTTGCTATTTAGATTACTATTTAAATATAACACATATAATAATATGACAAGGGTCAAGTGAAAACATATACATATGGTTAATTTACATAATGTACCACAACTTGTTGTATTTATCTTTTTAAAATTTTCAATTCATCTGTTGCTGAAACATTTTAAGCCCCAAATAACGCGGACTCTGTTGTCCTATAGCTAACCCAAAATAAATCTCTTAATTTTAATACAGTATTCAGTAAAGAACTTAGGTAACCAAAATATAATATGTAATAAAATTGTCATATTGGTTTATTTAAATGCGCCTGCTGACTTTTTTCCTATGCATTTAAAAAGGAGAATAGAATTAAAGTCCACTTATCAAAAGTTAGTCTGTCTTTTTATGTCAATTTATTAATTATTAACAAAAATAAAAACTTCTTTTTGAGATTTGATTTCGTACACATAGCTAAAATAAAGAGAAAAAATCCTTTATTTTTCGACAACGGCCGTGTTCAAGCAGCAAAAAATACTTCCACAAATCATATTACTTTCAACGAATCAGTCCGAACAGAGTCGTAAAAGCGTTAGCGCCTTTAATAAGTGAATTATCTTCTTCCCTTTTGTTGTTTTTCGTTTGCTTTTGCTTCCGCGTCTCTCTTGGACTCTACCCATTTGTTAAATTGTGCCCTTTCTCTACCTAATGATGTCTTAGCGTACCTGAGGGAATCGAGATAAAAAGTTATATAACTAAGCGGGGATTATGCAGCCTTAAAATTTGACATTAATGTGAATTTTTCATATTTATCATTATCAAGGAGATTGGATCTGGCAAACATTTTATAATTCATAAATATCTTAAAATTTTTGAACAGGGTTTACAAACTTGTGGCTTAAGGAAAACGAAGAGCATTTGATACCGTAAATATTTTTAAAGCTAAATACTTAAAATGAAATCCATTTTCAAACTGACAATAACCGGAACGGGCTTGAATAGCCGCCCAGGTCTCCAGACTGAACACTAATGGACCCTTTTTTAATAAGGGTACTTGATCAAGTTTTTAAGATATCAAAGACTTGAAAGAACGAATAAGACAGGAGAAATGTGCGAAAACAAGTTTCAGTTCCATTTAGGGTATTGTCCGTTAGAAAACATTATATATACTTTTTTATTTTACTGTTTTACAAATATAAAAATTTTCTAAAAAAGATATAATTTTATTACGGTGTTTTTTCTAGAATAAACTATTTTACTCATGTCAGAAAAAATCGGACTCACTATAGCACGGTGTGTGCCACTCTACACTCCCGATTTTGATAATTTTTTGTTGTTGTTTTGCTTCTTTCTTCAACATAAAGTCATGACCAACTGAGATTATTTAACAAACGAGTGAGAAGAGAGAAGTACTATTAGGGCTTTTTTAAAAATAAATTGGCAACGAATTCTTATTCAGTAGTACTCAGAATGCAACTATACCAATTTTTATAGTGTTTCAATACGAGGTGTTTGAAATATCGGTGGCGCCCCGCTTGTAAAATCTTTGATTGTGGTTTGATTTTTAAACCTTTTTTTTGTTGGGTTGCTCTCTCAAAAACGCACTAAAACCTTATGTTTCTTATTACGTAAACTTGAAGTCATGGCTAACTGGGACTATTTTCTAATGTCGAATAATGAGAAGGGCTATTAGGGATTTCTTTAAGTGTCAATGAATTCTTATTCAGGACTACATAAAACCTAACGAATTTCCATGAGATTCTAATACAGGGTGCTCGAAATATCGCATGCCCCTCGCTTAAGCATTGCTTCTGTAGCATGTTTTATAATTCTTTTATTGTAGCATAGATGTCGCTGAAAGGCATTAATGATTTTGTTAAAATTAAATATGATTAGATATGAACTAACAATGATACAACGCTGTATTTTTTTAATTAAAAAGGATTTTTAATTCTCATCAAATAATGAAAATAACAGAAGTGACAAAATTCATTGATGTCGGCATTTTGTTTCCTTTCTAAAGCAAAGGAGCCACGGAGAAGCGAAAATCCGACGGTCAAATTCACTCGTTAATTATATTTTAACTTTGTTTGAATTATTCCTTTTGAATAATCAGATTTATTAATGCTGTTGTTTTAAGATGACACTTTTTTATCAATATTTTTTAAATTTGGATAATTAAAATTTGTAAGATCTTAAAATCACATACAAAATAATCGTTACTTACAAGGTTTAAAATACTTATTTTTTTTTTAAAACATTCAAAACTCACTGGTCTAGTTCCTTTTAGATAGTCCTGAATACGAATCTGTTGTCATTTTCAATTTGAAAAAATCTCTCAAAGTACTTCTCGATTTTCCTCTTCAAAAAACTGTGTCAGTTAGGTCGATGACTTTGGTCGATGCTTTATGAAAAAACTGTTTTATTTCTCTTTAGTAATGCTTAACCGAATTTTATGGAAATTAGTTTAGTTAGATTTTATGTATTCCTGAATAAGAACTCGATTACGCTTTATTCTCCAAGAAATCTCTAATAGCCCTTTTCGATATTTGACATCAAAAATTAGTCCCAGTTCTCCATGACTTGTTGATGTAAAAAGAGAGTTGATGTAAAAAGTTTTAGTGCGATTTTGAGAGATTTATGAAACGAAAAAAAATTTTTAAAATCAAACATTAATCAAAGATTTTACAACGAAATCCAGCCTTAAGTAAATGATAATTAAAATACCCTGTGTCAAAAATTCTATAGAAATTGGTGTAGTTGTGTTCTAAGTATTCCTGAATAAGAACTCCTTTTCCAATTATTTTTTGTAAGAATCCCTAATAGATTCCCTTCTCTCTTCTGCCTCTTTTGTTAAATAGTCCCAGTTGGCCACGACTTTCAAGTTGAAGCAATAAGCAAAACAAAGTTTAAGTGCATTTTTCAGAGGTCTATCCAACAAAAAAGTATAAAATTAAAAGGAGAATTAAAAATAGATCATATTGCAATGGCCTTACCATTTTGTAAATTTTTGATACTCCTTGTCGGTAATTGGCTCAATTCGTTCCGAGACTAATATTTCGTAAAACTCTTCTGCCTTCAGGGGATTGAATTTCAGCTGAATAATCCTTCTCGGAGTTAATACTCTCTCTACAACTTCCTTTAACACTTTGTAAGGATAATAAGTTGTGACTGTGGCTAATGCGGTATAATTGAAATTTCTGTCTACCGAAGGAAACGCATTTAAAAAGTCTCTCCAGAATAGGTAAACGCTATTATAATCTGGCCTTGGAATCAAAATCACCTGCAACCAGCGACATCATAAATTTAAATTAAATCAAAAAAGTTATAGTTAAAACACCTAAAATGAACAAACAAACAATTATAAAACGAGAAATGAAAAAAAAAATTGTTATACTATTATAAACCAATTTGCCTGAGAGAAAATACTGGGTGTGCCATTTACACTTTTAAAATTAATATGAACTTTTCATATCTCAAATCGCTATCTAGACATTTTTATTAGCTGTTTAGCCACTTTTTTATGAGAAATTTAATATTTGGGCATATCAACAACTTTGAAACTTACTGACTTCGAGAAAATGAATTTTGGAAGGTAGGTATGGTCTGTTCATAGATATAAGAAAGTGGCCAATTGCATTTGAATGGGATTATCCAAGGGTGGTCATTAACATACAATGCAATAAGATTGTTACCTAAAGTTTCGGAATTTAAATTCTGGTAAAATTGTGGTCCGTAATAGAAAATAATTTTATACCTACCTGTGTTCTTTGTTTTGGTATACTACTTAGTTTAAGTTTATTAGTAATCATTCTTATTTTGTGTGCAATACAGTGTGTTTTGAATCGTGTGCGAATTATGCAAAGTATGTGCCAGTCTAGCGTATCTCAGGAGATGCTCCCGCCCAAATGTAGAAAACACTATTCTATTGAGACTAAGGAAGTTATAAACAATGTTTATTTGACTCTCATTGAACGTGGTGCTAGCAAGCAAGCATCTTTAGAAGAAACGGCCACATTGACGAAAATTCCAACATCAACTGTATGGAAAATTGTGAATAATCCCGGCGAGGAAAAAAAGAAGCGATGCTGATATTTTCTCGAGTGTAGATGAAAATAATCAAGATATAATACGGCGTAAAATTTACCAGTTATACGATAGTGCCTACGTTAGATATCTTAATTAGGAGGCTTGAAAAAGATGAAACTGGGGTTAAATGTGGCAGAACTACCTTATGGAAGTGTATTCAACACATGGGTTTTAGATTTGAAAAAATTGACAAAAGGCAAGTTTTAATGGAATCTTTTAGAATTCGGAAATGGCGACTGGAATATCTAGAAAAAATTAGGATTTACCGAGAACAATAAAGGACAATTATTTACGTGGATGAAAGCTGGTTCAACACTTATGATACCCCGGAAAAGGGTTGGGTTGACTCAAGTGATAAGTATAAAACAAACGCGCCATCAAAAAGAGGTAAAAGAATAATTATTTTGCATGCTGACTCTAAAGATGGTTGGATTCCAAATGGACTTTCTCTGTCTGCGAAAAATATTAAGGATTTTTCTCTGGATTACCATGAAGATACCACCGCTGATTTATTTGAAAGTTGGTTTAAAAACAAACTAGTTCCAAACATTCCTTCTAATAGCGTAATTGTAATGGACATTGTAAGTTATCACGGTAGACTAAAACTCCTTCGTCATGTGACACAAAAGCAACAATCCAAAACTAAAAAGTAAAAAGCAATTAATTGAGGTTCTACAAAGCTTGAACCTACATAAGGAATACGTCTGTGATAATTATGCAAAAAATCTAGGGCATACAGTTTTAAGGCTTCCACCTTACCACTGTATATTTAATCCCATTGAACTGTTTGGCACCAACTGAAATCTGCCATTCGTCGTAACAATGTATTTCCCGGTGTTAACTCCAATGTCCCCAAACTTATTGAAACCGAATTTTTTAACATCCCTCCACAAAGTTGGGCAAATTCTGTTACACATACAGAAAAAGCAGAACAATCGTATATCCATATTGCAAATAATATAGAACAAATAATAATTAGAACAGGCGATGATAGCGATAGTGATACTGATATATTATGTGAATAATTTTAAATAATTTAAGTAGGTAATAAAAATAATTTGTAATTTTATTTTAGATTTAAACATAAATACATATATAAATAAATAAATATTGTTTAGTATCTTTCCTAACAAAACCCCAAATAATTGAATTCTAAGCAAAGTACGGACCTGTTCGGTCATATTTCATTCTTACAGCTTGCCCGGGTCTTTCCTTAATTCGTATCATTTAGTCACTTTCTTATATTTATGAACAGACTTTACCCTGTACCTCGATAGTTTTGTGGCATTGTGTTTTTGTAGAAATTATTGGCACAGACAAAAAAATTTACACCGTGTCCAGTTTGGCACCTAAGAACAGCTCTATTTAAATTTTATTAACTATTTCAAAATCGAGAATTGGAATTCCTGTTAAACCAATTATTAACTGAAATAAATGCCCGTTTTTTAATAAATTAACAACTTTTGTACGTTCTTTAACGACATCCAATATGCTCTATTATATTATCCATTCCTGTAAGTGTAATACAGGCCTACACCTACCCGCTCAAATGCGTTTCTCAATCTACCAGTTTGTGCTAACCAAGGGACGTCCGTTATACCCAGCACCAAAACGCGATCTTCGGGTTTAATTGTTTTGACGATACCTTTCACCAACCTTTTCCCGATTCTTTTGGGTTCCAGGTGTTTTTCGTGGTTCGGTACCTTCTTGTAATAAATCTTTTCGGCGCCATCAAAGAAGATAATAGAGGGTTGAAGCAATTTCGACATTTTCGTAACGAGATGTATTAGCATCGTTAAACCCTAAAATATCATCTTGTCGTTACTATAATCACCAATTAATGTCAGGGATAAGAATAAGAGAAATGCACGTTTCCTATAATAATTACGTTCATACAAGTTAAGTTTCTGCTGCAAAATTAAACTCCAATAATGCAACTCATGACATCCACGGCTATTAATTACTGTTGCCCAAGAAAAGGTCATAAAACATTAGGACTTATATTATAATGTATCTGGCCATGAAAATTTAGAAACCGACAATCTTATGGTACGGTAATTTTGCAAAAATGAGTAGACTGTGCCGCAAAAATTGACAACTCATTCTGATTCTAACCTAATTTAGTAAGTTCAATTCGACAGAGCTGCCCTGCCACTGCTTTTTAGTAAGGGTAATTTAGATCATATTTTTTAATTTGGAATTTTTAATATTTTTCGTAATAACCTTGAATATTGAGTTTTTAATGTGTTATTAGGTATAGCAAATTAAGTCCATTATTTTCAAAATTGTAGGATGCACCAAAAAATGTTAAAATTTTGGACACCCTGTACCTCGTCAACAAAGTGCTTTCGGGCCCAGCTGTAGAATACGCCCCTAAGTTACGACTGTGTACTAATAAATCACCATCTAGATAATGGTGTATTATGTAACAATCGAATTTATTAAACACTCGCGCTGCGCTCTGCTCGTGCCAAAACAAAATCGTGACGAAAGTGACGTTTATCAAACTTTTTGAATAATACCTTAGAGTAACAGATTCGTAAGGAGTGCGTTAAAAATAAAAAAAATGAATATAATTTAGATCAATTATTTTATTTACTAACCTTATTTCCGGGATATTTATCAGCGGTAATTTCAGGCGACAAATCAAATAGAACGGATTGAGTGTGCGTTAAAATTGCGTTTGCAAGAAAGTGTTTGCCACTATGTTTGGGACCAGCTATTAAAACGGATCTTGGCTTTTTCATTGCCTCAACACCAAGAGGAAGAATACAATTTAACGCAATCGCCTGCCGAACATCGAGCAAAGCCCCGGGGGGGTCCAATTCAATTTGCCTCAGTTCGCTGTTTTTGTAGCTAACAATAGAAAACACGGTAGCTATATGATAATTCGAGAAAATATCGTATGCAAAAACCTGAAATCCCCCTTAAATTCGTCCAACTTAGCGACCGGATACGTTCGAATTATTTTGTTCGATACAAGTTCGTGAAAGAGATCTTCAACAGTCCGATGGGCTGTCGGGTCTTTTTTACCTTTTTTCTTGCCTTTACGTCGTTTGACCTTTTTCTTTTTGTATTTTTTACGTTTATCAAAAGCGAGTGCTTCTTGAAGAACGTCCAATTCCATTCTAAAAATATTTTTTTTTACACCCTTCTCTAAAATACCCAATTATGTATGTGCGTAAGTGTCACTTTAAGAGATCAGCTTCCCCGTGAACGGCCGAGAAACATTTTTGGAACTTTAGTCACGGGTTTGAAAGCGATCGGATCTTTTCGATAGATTTTAGTCATGGCTTTTTGAGGTTTGTGAGTTCTGACGGTAATGTCCTACGTCACTTAGTGTTTGTGCTAGTGCTGTTTTGAGGAAAGGTACCCAAGAGGTCATAGAAAAATTATAGATTTCTCCTGTCACTCGTTTATCAATCACAAGCTCCGTCGCGTTTGTTGCATAATCTATTAATACTAATCAAAAAATATATTTCCTTTCTTAGGTTCGATAAATTGGTGGCGTAATGTTATTTTTATGATTAGAAGCGAACTAACAGTTTGCTGAACATGCATGTAAATAAATTAAAATTAAAAGGAAGAGGGATCGTAGAATGAAACTTCGCTAAAGAACCAGGATTCAGCTGGCTCCGGATGATAGTGCCCTGTAAGGGCCCTGTAATGGATGGAGACTACAACGACGGTGAAGGCGGAAAAGGAAACGACGACTGGTTATCTAAAACTGATTGTATGCAAAAACCACGAGAGAGGAAAGGAAGGGAAAACCACCTAATTATTCTCCCTAGCATAAATCTACAATGAGATACAAATGCAACGGACAGGCCTTAAATGGCCACAGTGTGCGAAGATTCCCCGGGAAGAATGCGAGTAATCACCCTGAAGTAGAATTTGATCGAAAATGCCTGCGCGAAGATAACACACATAATAACCGACCCCTTTTTGGGTAGAAACATGGAATAAAGGTGGAGCGAGACACTGTAAACCCTGGGAAACAGCAGGAAGGAAAGAGAACGAAAGGTTTATTTACAAATCTAAGGTGAAATCAGAGAAGCGAAGGACCAGTCGATTATAGAACTCTGGAGTAAGAAGCACTACAAATGATGCATGGCTATTATTATATTCATAAAATAGTGAAGCTAGATTCAGAAGCAAGCTTCCATATCAACTAATCAACACCGGAACGGACGAAATAGCTGCAGAATGACGGTAACAAATGGTAAAACTTATAGGGTAACTTGAAAATTCTCATCAAACCTTGTAGCTGCATATATACCACTGACAATATTCCAAAAGATTGACCAACGTCTGTGTTATTCTCTAGACCTCAAACAAGAAATCGTTCAGACGCATCAGCCTCATGTCCTATTTGCTTAAAATATTTATAAAAATACCAAGGTACCAGAGATGCTTCATGGAGCCTTAAAATAATATTGCAGACATGTCGAGACAGACAGCCATATATTTATGCTTCATCGATTATGAGACAAGGCTTGATAGACAGAGATCATGAATAATCAAACTTGAATAATACAAAAATCGTTGGGTCCTATATTGGAATCAGAGCCCCACTGTAAAAACGGGATGGAGAACAACGAGAGCGGTAGCAATAAAAAGAGGGATCAGACGAGTTTGCATTCTGTCTCTACTCTTCTTGAACACATATTTTGAAGAGATCCTTTTCCAAGTGTTAAGTGACTGCGAGCAAGATGTAAATGTAAGTTACGCGGACGATACGATATATTAGATCATAGCGAAGCTTCCCCTTGAGAATTATTGAATAGACTTACAACAGCCTGCAATAAATACTTCCCTAAGATTACAGTTATGGTTATTTCCAAGAAGCACATCGGCCAACGAATATAATAGTAAATAACGAAGTGATACAAACAAGTAGCTAAATTAAAGTATCTTGGGTGTTGTATTGCTGCAGATTTGATCGAGGATGTAATGACAAAATTCTCAGAAATGATAAATACTATCTACTTGTTACAAAACTACTGGATTCCTTCTGCGTCTTCAGAGCTTGACTGAAACTATTTCACACTAGCCTGTGGAAGCTTCTTTGAAAAAAAAATACTACCTATTATCAGGTCTAAGAGGAAAACAGATAGATGTCTTAGATGAAAAATATTCGAGAATGGATTGGAAGGAACGTTCACACATTACTCAGAATAGCAGAAAGACAAAATTTTTTTGTTGTAGTTATCTTCAATCTTCGATGAGAAGAAGTACATAAAGAAAAGTCCGAAATAGTGTTTCTTGAATTTGAGACCCTTATTATTGGCCATAAACATCCAGTTCAAAAGCTTCGACGGATCGAAAAAGAAAAACACTATATTTATTTATTTATTCGTTTTATCAGCTAGGTTATCTGGACCTGTTAGCAAATATTTTTTGAAAACCGATAAGCGTGTGCAAAGTGTCAGCTTAGTTAACCACGGTCGCAATCCTATTTGGAATTTTCCTCTGCTGGGGGTTTGGGAGTTATCAGATGTTTTCGGTAGGTATTTTGACGTTTGTCAGTCCTTATAGTCACGTCACACGTCACTCAGTGAATGTGTTTGTAACTATTTTGCAAAAATATACTCAAAAACTAAGGGTCGTCGAAGAAGGGCAGTGTGCAAGACGTTGTTAAATTGCTTGAGTCAATCATTTTTAAGCACTCACAAACTAGTGACTAAAGTGCCATTTATCCAGTTTGTTGCATAATGTGCTATTGTTCCTAAAAAAATGATCTGATTGTTTTAAATTTAAATAACATTAAGAGCATATGACCGAAGATGCTGGTTCTGCATGTTTTACTCCGTAGGTTTTCAAGTTCTGAGTTGTACGCTTTTGATGCCTTTTGTGAAGTATTTTGTCCTCGTACTTTTCCTTCTCTGGAGGTGATAATAACAAAATATTGTCAAGAGTGTCAAATTTTTCATTTTTTTATGAACTCACGTAGTAGTCGAGATTCAGCTAGTAAGTTTAACCAGGCATCCGGTATGTTGACCGAGTAAGGGTTGTAACATAAAATTAAAAAAAAAATACGAAGTTGCGCTAACTCCAGTTCAAAATTCATTTTAATCCTGAAATTAATCAATTAGCAGTATCAACAGATATTTTTTTAAAATACTAACAAACAAATAATGCTATATTACAAATAAATGTCTTATGGTAAGCTGTGGAAATATTTACTGTTGAAACAATTACAACTAAGAAAAAATAGTGTGCGAATCAATATTCAATTCTGATATTATTTAGGTCACTATGTGATGAAGTTAGACAGGTTACAAGTGCAGCAAGGAAGAGCTGTCAGAGGCTCACAGGGCTTCCTCAGAGGAAATGCCATGTCCATAGGTAACACATCAATTTAGTTAGATCTGCTAGTTCATAATTTTAACTCGTAATTTTAATTTTTAAAATATTAACTATTTTCCAGATATTACGTATGACTATACCTCATAATCTCATCAACAGCCTTCCTGACTTCCAGCTGTGTTTCATAGCATTGTTGTTCAGTAATAAGATCAACGTACGGGTTTTCTTCAGGATTATCGCGCTCATTTCTTTCACTCCAGAGCACTTTGTATTCTTCTTCCCCTAATTTTCGGAGATCTTTCGAGAGGGATTCGTCAAACTGATATTCAAACTCCCCGGGATGTTTCTTTTTTGTTTTGCTCGCTTCTTTTTTTCTTTTATTTTCAGATTTTTTCTTCTCCTCTTTCGTTTTCTGTTCCCTCTCATTCTTTTTTCGTTGGTTATCTTTGCCACCTGATTTTATTTGCTCGCGCCTTTTTCTTTCGTATTCTTCCATATATTCTTCCGGTGTAAGAGTTTCACCACGCACCAATAATATCGTGCCTCCCTTTTCTTCGGACGGATAGTTGTCAAACGTTTTTGCAATTGAAAACCATCGTCGAAACCTGATACGAAATGATTTCAAATATCGCTAAAGTAATATCCTACGCTAACCATTCTCTTATTTCATCTTCAATATCCTCGAACAAACCCGGAGCTACGACCCTTAAAATTCTCGCTTTTTCTCTATCAATTGCTTGAATATATTCCCTGATTTTCTGTTGTCCGTATCGGCGGCGGTTTTCTAGATTCTCCTCAAATATTTCGAACTCCCTTTTGGATTTGCAACTCGATTCGGTCATACCTTTAAAGGGATTTGCGATTATAGTAGGAGTTTCAATAATAAAGCCGCCGAAAAATTTGGATTTTAGGAACATTTTGATACTTATAAAGACTACTGTCGAATGTCAAACAAATTAGGGCACGGAATGTTTGCAATTTATCCCTCAAAGTTGCGTATCGCTTGTATTGATATTCCTTTTCAAAAAGGTTGTCTTTGGTACTTGTCGCAAGATGGCGGAAAATTTGTTGATATTGTTGCAACTATTATTCGATGTAATTTTTGTGCTACATCTATCTCTTGTAAAAGTCAATCTGTACTAGACTACGATTTTCTGTTAGTTATTTTGCAAGTAACATTATATTTGATTAGTAGGTCTGAGCATAAGACAAATGTATAGGGGATGTTATAATGAGAATGGTTCTCCAAATTTTATAGAGTTCGATACATTTTTTGTGGTATATGTGAATACTAAAATACCAAAAAGCGTCAATAAAACGCCGTTTAAAAATTTTAAGACTAAATAGAAAACGAACACTCGCATTATGCTTAATGTATACGGAGAAGGTTCATAACAGTCCCAACTAATCCTTGGGGACAATATTGGTATATATCGACAACTGTTAAAGCAGCGACCACGGTTAACTTAGAAAAAAATTAGACCTTGTTTAAAATTCCTCTACGCAGTTTCAAAATTTTTCTTAAATTCGGAAATACAGGGTGATTTATAAAGATTGTCAAATATTTAGAGATTTGTTGATTGTATTTAGATTTTAGATTGAGATTTAGCTCTAAATTAAAAGGTTTAAATAGGAACCTTTTTTTACAATTTTTGGTTTCTTTGGACATCCAATAAATAGTTGAAATGATAAAATGATAAAAACTAGGCACATATTAAAAAAAAAATGATGGTAGCATATAACATCGAACTTCAAATTTAATGTTGCCATCTTGCACAGTTGCAATGTTAAATTCATTTTAAGATATCTTTGTAGATAAATTATAAATAAACAATTTTAATACCTATCGTTATTTAATAAAAAATTGATTATGGTTTCTCAGATACAAAAGTTCGTGAGTAAAATCCAAGTATACCTAGTATAATATGTTGTAGATAGTAAAAATATTAAAACTTTTTTTTTGAAAATCAACATGTTTGTAGAGATTTAGCAGAACATCAAAAATGACATTTTTAAAAAGTCATCATAACCGTTGTCGATATGTACTGATACTGTCCTCATGAATTAATTGGCACCTTGTATATAATTTGCTGATAATTCGAAATGGCTTAGCGAAACGCGTGGCCAGAAAGTCGTATTAGTTGTAACGTTGTTGTATATTTAATAGAGTTTTGTTTCAAGATTCACAGAGTATCTGTGGTTGTGGCTTTCCATCAAAACTTACTTACGTACTATTTTTACATCTACATCATTAAAAGTGTAATAAAAGACAGAATTCTGGAAAACCCAATATGGCGTCCATAAGAAATAAATTGAAAAATATCGATCCAAAACGAAAATTTGTGCAATTATAGGTATTAAAATATAACCAATCAAGAGCCTTCGTTGATCCTCTCTGTATTTCAAATATTTTCTCGATCGGTATCCCCTCCAGAGCTTTTGTATTTTTGTGGCAGCAACGGTTTGAAGGGCAAGCGGAGCTGGTGGAATTATGTCAGCCCCAAGCATCATAAGTTTCTTTCTCCTTTTTAAATTTAAATTCTTTTCGAAAAAATATACTCTTGCCTGCCTTGCTCTTTCCGCCGTTTGAATCAAATTAATAAAGTACTTGATGTTCTTTTGATCAATTTTCTCATGGCTTTCATTTGCAAAAGCAACCGTTTTTTGAATTTCCGACCTAAAAATTGAATACGTTAATTTTTATACACATAAAATGTTACTGAGATTGCCGCCAGATAGATAGATAAAATTTAACACAATTTTGTTGCATTTAAAGCAAACTAACCAGAACTATGCATTTAATTTTAATTCCATTTTAAAAAATGCCTCTGCACCAATTTTAAAATAACTCGTACAACACAGAACAAATGTCTATGCAGAATTCTGAAAAGTCCTGATAAATTAAGTCTAAGATTTGAGTTTGAGATGCGGCTACTTTTTCTAAGAAGCGGCAGCCTCGCATTACTATAAATCATCGATTTCATCAAATTTTCAGAACAATTCTAATTCTCGTTTCTATGAACGTATAAATATATAAATAAATTTAATTTAATTTGCACCAAATTCATGAAATGGTAAATTAAGATGTTCGCATAGACTGTAAAGATTTGCCAAGAAATATGTGTGACATATTACATTTTCGTAGTTTTGAAGATGACTTTCGTATCTCCTTCATCGGGAAAAACTTTTTCATCTTGAAACGTAGCATCCTCAGGAATTTTCGTTAATACTGTTGTCCCTTTCTAAAAATAATTTAATTAAGGAATACAAACTCATCAATTTACAAAGATAAATCTGAACGTAAACAAAATGAGGAGTCCGTCTAAGCTAAGCGGTCACCGATTTTACTCTTCCTATTGCAGAAAGTATATTGTATGCCAGCAGTACATATCTCATCAGATCATTGAGGGTCGGTTTATACATCTAGTATTAAATATGCGATATTAAATAAATAATACAACGAAATTTATAAAATTCATATATTTCTTTAAATATTTTTATTATTATTTGATCCCTTGCTTTAATTTACTTCGAAGTCTTTTTCTCTGAACTAGAAAGATAAAGTTTTATTATACCATGTAATACAATTTATATATTATATAATTTATGTAATAATAAAAAAATATATAAAGTACAAGTACTTAATCGGTAGCCACCTGTAGACAAAGTGGTATTATATTATTTAGAACTAAATATACAAAAAATGTATATAACCATATTTTTGTTCTCAATTTTATTTGAAAATGTTTTTTTTTCTAATATAAAATCTGGTGTTGTGATGTCTAACCAATTCAATTAAATAATTTTCATAATTTGGATTTAATGTGGGGATGTTTTAGCTATTGTTCGCTTAGCAAAAATGAAAGAAGGATGTTACAACATCGTCTTAGAGAAGAACACCAAAGGGTAAAGACTGACCTAATATAGAAAACATAAAAGACGAAGAAACAAATGTCTCATTATATGGATTAGGAAAAATTAATTTTTCTTCACTGCATATTAATTTGTACCTAAAGCATCAATGTTCTCGTAAAAATTGAGTCCACTTTGCAAACTTACGCAAAAAACATCAGTTGAGCATAGAAATAATTGAAGCATAAATGCTTGACTGCTTACAAATCATGAAATCATGAAAAGTTATGTTGAACTAGTGTTCGAGTTAACAGTTTTATACATCTCGGGTGAAAAGTACTAAGTACATTATTCACTTGACCACCTATTCGTTTTCACCACAATTTGGAAAATATTTATATGAATTTAACTAATTTATAATAGTGGAACGTATATTTCATTAATATGACATGTTTTACCTAAGGTTATTCGTCCCCGTTCGCTGAAATTTGATAACCTGTTACCTTAAATTCCTGCAACATGTCCTCAATATCTAAAGGTCTATGATGGAAAATCCGAGGGTTAAGAATCTCCACATCGTACGGAACCAGTTTTAGTTCAATAAGGTTACCGTCAATGTAATGATACTCCGAGATATCGATATTTCGTAGTGCATCGTGAAGTTCGTTTAATCTTATAACGGCTGAATCTACAATTTTTTTAATGGTGCTTCTTTTTTGCGGCTGCAGAAGTAAGTAAAATGGTTAATAATGTTTCTGAGCCAGGTAACGCATACCTGGGCAAGTTGGTCGAGACAAGTAATCAAATTTTGTACAAGCATGCAATATTTAGCATACAATCCTCCAATCAAGTCTCTGGTCAAATTTCTGTCCTTTGTTTGTTTAAATTTGTCCCGAGCTTTCTCATCTTGTTGCGTTAGAGTTTCCAAATCTTTACGAGACTTTATCCACCACTTTGTATAGTATTCAAACGACATGATATTGAAACGGGAACATTAAGAAAAACACGCAAGAAAATGTGTAAATTTGGGGGCAATACTTGTCATTTTTTAACGTTAGTCATAGAAACGGGTCAGTCAGCATTTGGCCAACAAGTCGACCACTGACATTTGGCTCGGCGTTTGTTATATACAAACGATCATAATCAAATTGCAAACTAATCAAATTATTTAGTACTCTTAATCTATGGTCTTCTGTTCTCTAATCGGATGTTTTTGGAGACATTACCCGCGGCTTAAGTTTTTACGTTTGTCAATTCTGATGGTCATGGTCATGGACAAAATTTCTTTGAATTTTCTGTTATTATATAAAAATGTGCGTTCTACAAGTACCACTAGGAATTAGACGTATCACAGGTCAAATGGGTTAAATGGAGTATAAATGCTTTCAACTCTACCCCTTTATTTCAAAATACAGGGTGTAAAAATGACCCATCTACCCAATTGGACAACTATGACCACAATCGGAAATCTTGCGTCCGGACTCACAATCGCGATTCCTATCAAACAATCCATTGCTGCCAAATGATGTCTACGGCAAATATTTCATATTCATTTGGAAAAATACATTGAAAAACATATTTAGGCTATTTATATGTCACATTTTATATGGTCATTTTTTACCCAGCCACTATATTATTTAATAGCTTTCCGAGCCATATACATTCTAAAGCTTGTCAAATAAAATTAAAACAGACTCAAAACATCGCCATTACAGAGCATTTCAGTAAGCTTATTTGTATATTCAGATCGAAATGTTGGTTGCTTGCCAAATAAAAGTTTATGAGGTAATTTATGTGTGGAGGCACAACAATAAAGGCGTTCGTAAATCAATCAAAGTTTTGGTTGATGGTTGTTAGGCTTGTTAAATGCAAGATACTTTTGCGGTTCTGAAAGGAAAAGTGGTTGTACTGGTTTTCTTTCGTAATTTGGGTTGATTACTCTAATGGTGAATTAATGCTGTTTGAATCTTTTACATAGTAAGAGATTACGTCAATTTTTGCAGGTTGTATACCAAAAATTAATTGACTAGTGTTTGCCGTGTTAACCGAAAAAGACATTAGTATTGTCCTTGCCAAAAGTTAGTAGCGAAACCTGTGCAGTGTTAGTTTTTTATTCATATTTGAGCCAATGGTAATGAAATCTTGTTAACACTAATAGTGAAACAAATTATATTTTTAAAAATTAATTAGGGAGCCTAGGTAGCGTTAGTGTTAGTTTGTTTCATGTTAGAACTTATTAAACTTTAGGCTGCATGATTTAGCAACCCAACACCATAGTTAACTTGTATTGCATTGTATACCAAATTTTTGGAGCAATTTGTCTTTCGACTATCAATTTAATTTATTAAATCAGACAAAAATTACTCGAATAAACTTTTACTGGATGGACTGGGTGGATTTCAGATAAAAATCACTTTATTAAGATGAAATATAGCGGTTACGCCCTCTGGTGGAATATGAAAATATTGTTCGCAGTCTTCCTTTTTCTACTTTAGTAAAAGTAAGCTTCTAGAACCAATTATTTTCGAGATTCAGTACTTTGCATGTATATAGCACCCTTATTAGTCAATTAACTCTTTTACAAATTCTTCTATTAATTCCTGTTAAAGTAACGCTATTGTTTATTAAAGATATTACGGTAAAACGACTTCCCGCTTCGGCGGATTTCCAGTTCATCTTCCTGAAAATTGTACTAATAGACCAACGATTTTGTATTGTATACATTTATATGTTGATAAATGAATAAATTGAATGAATGGATGAATAATAGTTAGAAAAAATCAACCAAAATAACCGGCCGATTTCCTTAATATATCTTCGACAGTTACATTTATACTGCAAAATGGGGAAAAAGGTCAGATCATTTATTTTATAGGTTTCTTTTTCTTATCCAGTTTTTTATCTAAACACAATCTAAAAGATTATTCACTGCAACGATTAATTGGTAAGCCAGTATAAGCTGGTCTAATTCGCCCCTGCAATTTGTCTAAGAATGCTGGTGCGAGAGGGACTGATAATTATTATGTATCTTTAGGGGTTAATTTGGGGTTACCGTTACGCAGTAGTGGGGAGATAGAAAGCTAGGATCAACTGATAAACCTACTACATTAATCATAGCAGGAAATTTAATTTGAAAAACTTGATTCTAATGATGATGACGTTGCAATGAGCTCAAAATAAATTTTGTCTTATGATAATATTAGCCGCTGATAACTACATCGTAACTAATCGTAAACGTATATACAGATATACACTTAAGAACTGTACACCCTTGTAAAATCTTTGTTTACGGTTCCATTTTGATTTTTTTTTGTTGGATAGCTCTCTGAAAAATGTTGTTTTTCTTATTGCTTCAACTTAGAGTGTGTTTGAAATATGTCTTACGCCTCGCTTAAGGCTGTACATCATTGTAAAATTTTTGATTGCGGTTTGATTTTGATAATTTTGTTTTGTTCGATAGATCTCTCACTAAAACATTATGATGTTTATCACATCAACCTGAAATCATGGCTAACTGGGACTAATTTTTTATGTCAAATATTGAGAAGAACCATTGAACCCATGAATTTCGCCAGAGCATTACTTTTGTAGAATGTTTGTTTGTGGCTCAATTTTGATAAATCTTCATGGAAAATAGTGTATTTAGGTTTTAAGAAGTAATAATTAAAAAAATCCTTGACACTTCTTGATATTTGTCCCAGTTGGCTATGACTTTAGGTTGATGTAAAAAGAAACATATCCGTACGATTTTACAACGATTTACAGCCATAAGCGCGGCGTAAACGATGTTTTAAATACCTTTTATTGAAATATTATAGAAATTGGTTTAGTTGGGTTAATAAGAATTCCTAGCTCGGCGTTGCCAATTATATTCGGATATCAGAGACTAATTTTGCGATCTTATGAAAATTAGTCAATTTTTTTAGAAAAATTGGTTGGGGGTGATGCATGTTCAAAAGTCCAAACCTTTTCTACGAAAATAACATAACATAACCTGCGGCGCATCACTTTTTACCGAAGTAGGGTCACTATATTATCTAATAGCTATATGATTGAAGCAATAAATACAACAAGGTTTTAGTGCATTTAAAAAAAAAAACAAAATCGATCCATACACAAAGATTTCACAAGGGCGTACAGTTCTTAAGTGGGACACACCAAATAATTCTGATTCTTCATTTCGGAAGTGGAATTTGTTTTAAATATATAATTCTGCCTCTTATCATGAGACTTATCAAAGGCAAAAATATTAAAATTGAAAATCAATTAACAATTAATTATAAATAGTTTATGCAATCATCCTAATAACCAAGAACAAAGAAAATATGGCTAAAAGGAGCCAGTGATTTAGAAAACTGTTTTTGTTTTGTGTTTTTAGTTTATTAGTATACCAAAAGAACCCATCCGCTTACAACTATTTTTTTCCCTTTCTCTGAAAATAACGTTGTGAGAAAAGTTTTTGCTAACAAACATCTACAACTTCCCTAAGAACTTCCTTTTACACAACATTTCATGAAAATATCATCCCGAATCTCTCACAATTAAACGCCGGGGTGCTAGTAAGTATTTTTGAAAACTGGAGAGGGTGATAGGATATTTCGATTTCATAAGAGAATGAAGAGATTCGGCATCCGTGGACGAACTTGTCCTATGGCTTAATGGTGGATAATGGCTTTGATAATACTTTTTATAAAACTTCTGGATTCGTCCTTCGTCGGTTTTTGTTGACTCGAACTAGCTGACGTTTCGCCAATCATCCTGTTGGCTTCTACAGAGCTTGACTGAAACTGACTCGCATTTTACTCTATACCTGCTTTTATACCACCTAAAATTTGCTTCATGGTCAGGAATCCGTAGTAGATTTTCTTAGACATTTAAACTCTATACATCCTAACATACGTTTTAATATTGAAATACAAACTAATAACAACCTCTCATTCTTAGATATTCTTATCAATAGAAAATCAGACCTAAAATTGGGTCATTGTGTTTACAGAAAATCTACGCACACAGACCGATACCTTAATGCATTGTCGCATCATCACCCGGCCCAAAAATCATCGGTTATCAACTCTCTTGTTTACAGAGTCGTAAAACTCTCTCAGTCGCAGTCATTAAAAACATTAACTTACCTCTGCTCTTCTCTCTAATAATTTCCATATTAAATATATACACTTCACCACAACCTTCCATTAGCAATGAAACCGAAAGCAATTTCACACTTGCCACTGTTGTCCCTCCATATATTTAAAACATCACTGACATATCAAAAGTCCTAAAGAATTATAAGGTCAAAACCAGATTCACCACTTGTCCAAAAATCTCTCAACATATTCGACAACAGAATACATTGGAGACGCCGGACAAAAAGTATCAACTAGGCTCAAAGAACATGAAAGAGCCTTAAGACTAAGACAAATCAGCAGTTGCCGAACACAATCACGAAACCAAAGCTAAAATTTTATTCGATAAAACTAAAATGCTTTCATGTTATCAATTCTTCTACCAACGAAAAATTTGAGAGTCTATAGAAATCTATAAGCAACCTAACAATCTTAACCATGACTCAGGTCTCTACCTGTCACCAATATGAGAATCAGTACTCCGAGATGTTGTTTATGCCCCTCATTTAGCTCCGCCCCCCTCAAACAATATAAAAGCAGGTACAGAGTAAAATGCGAGCCAGTTTCAGTCAAGCTCTGAAGAAGCCAACAGGGAAACAAAAACCGGCGAAGGAGGAATCCAGAAGTTTTATAAAAAGTTTTACAGTAGCCTGTAGAAGTTTCTTTGAAAAATGAACAGGCTTTGATAATTTTACTGTAGAGATGGAGTCACCACTCTCTCGTTATTTCTCACGCGAAATGCAGCTCGATGTGATATATAAATGTTTTGCCTAAAATTTGGGACGTATCGCATGATCTTTTGATGTCGCCTCGTGAGGCATGGGCGTCACCGCGGGCCGCCCCGACGGGCTTTTCGTCGCGGGCGCCGCTCTCCCTGCCACCCTATCAT